ATGCGTCACCTATTACTTTATTAACAAAACAAAGTTTTTCAGAGTTTTTCAAATATTCACTAAATAATTCAGATGTTTAGACCATTCTTTTACTATTTTCCTTCGTGAACATCTTTTACATTTAAACTGTTCATTTCGTTAGCTTATAAAGAGTCGTTGAAGTTTAAATTTAAATCAGGCATAAAACAAAAAGGTATCTGAAAATATGTTAAAAATCTTTGTGGAGATAAATAGATAAAACTTAATGCAAAGGCAAAGGTGTATATCAAATATGGATAACTGATACAAAAATCTCATCGTTGCCTTCAAGTGTATTATGTAACTTAGTTAGGTGGGGGGTATTAGGTACCCGATATCAATTCAAACATAAAACAGAAAACGAGACTTTGAAATAATCGAGAAGATTTGTAACTCAGGAGGATTTTGTGCTCAGTAAGATGCTTCGTTTAATTAGGAAGTTTCATAGTCCCTCCAGATGATCTTTTTAGAGGTAACTTCAAAACGGATTCGGTTATTGAGATCATGGATAAATAAAGCAGTCGTTTCTCCAAATGACCGAAGTTGTGATTGACTGTCCCATGAGATTTTCTTATCATTATATTCACCCGTATCGCTTCGTTGATGTGATATTCGAGCCTTTGATGGTTTGGCTTATTATTTATATAGCTATGTTAACATGTCTGTTATCTGCAACTCGATATAGGTAGTAGACTTCCAGGAATTTTTTTGTTGTTCTTTGTGTCTCTTGTGGATGTCAGGGTCAGTGCTGGAAATTTTGTCTAACGAAAAATTGCATGCTTCACAATTAATCCATTCAGCTCTTAGGATATTGAGACACCAGAAAGAAAGTACTGGATTGGTAAAACGGCCTTATTCATTAATCTGTGCGTAGTACACGTGAATTCTCACTAGATTTTGTGTCCTCAATTAATGAATAAATTAAATGTTGCATCACTGACATCTTCTAGGCAAAATTCCAAAACTTCTGCCTTTGATTCAGACATAATTTCAAAGCTTTCCCCACTCTCTTAGGTCAGATAAACTTAAATATTATTTGAGTACTATTTTCATTATTGTCTTCATTATAGTAAAAGCGGACGAAAAGCATTTAGTCACCACCTAGCCGCGCCTGACACTTTTTTCGCTTCTTAAGCAGTGCCCATCCACTGCAGTACACAATAAGGAGTAAAAGACTATAAATTGCCCTTATTCCGTCACCGAGTAAGTATTTGATGACAATACCAGTCTGTAGTATAGTGCAACCAGCTTCTACAATCATACATAAGAAAAGTTTATGACAGATTAGAACGGGTTGTAGTTGCACTATACTACGGATAAAGTGAAGCTTGGATATGTAGGCTAACCGACATTAAACGTTTTGACTGTGAAACTCGACCTCTTTGCATGATCCCTGAGGTCTGTTGAAATGTTATGGATTACACTTAATTAGTTAACCGGTTTTTAGCTGCTATTGAAAGCTTTCTGACTGATATCAGTCACTAGGGTAGCCTGTCTAGTGATCATTCATAGCTCTAAAAATCCAAAAACTAGAATTTATATTCGGTTGCAATCTAATATTTTACCACTAGTTTCTAAACACATTTTGAAAACAAATATTTCACTATTAAATTATACTATCGCACAACAAGTTCGTTTATTCCATGCCTAAACATATGGGAACACTTCACTTTCAGACTGACTGTTTACCTGTGATTATGTAAAAACATTTGTATGAATTCATCATGGTGATTATCACTTCCATCGAAGATTTTATTAATAGTTATGCTTGAATCCAGAAACTAATAAGAATACTATAAAGTTGTATATCGATGCTATGTGGTAGCTTTTCTGATAAGTTTGTTTAGGACTAGTGCTGTATAATATGTTGCTAGGTGATTAAAATGCATAAGAATGAGATAGTTTATTCGTGAATGCATAAATATGTGAATAGCTTAACAACAAGTGAGATACCATTAGCTGTTTACTAAATCTAGGCTGTGTCAGAAACGCTATTCACTTCAAAGCGATATATGCTCTAACACACGTGTGCAATACCAAATAAGTAAACTTTGCATCATGACAACTTATTGAAAATATAGGTCGCTCTGTGGTTAAATAACAGTGCATTTGAATGGAACCTTAGAGCCAAGCGAACCATAAACGGTTAAAGAGCCACCGTATGTGTCAACTAGTTTTGATTTTTCGCCTTTGTTGCATAAACAGCTTTTGCTGGTCATATGTTTTCTTGATACATAATTGTCCTTCAAGGTTGGTAGTTGAATCACTTTCATGATTTACTCATAAAATGGGCATTAATCGAATTTGTAGAGTGTTATTCAATTTTATTTTTTCAGTGGATAAACTCCATTTGACCCAGAAACTTTTATTATTGTTTACGAAAAGATCTCATGGTTTTTTATTCATAGACCGCTGAATGACGTCCTTTCTAATCAACTCGTTTCTTCTATGTAGACATTTAAGTGACAACTAATCGGTCAATAGTCTCAACAGTATTTTTTTTGTGTGAATGCCAGTGTTTGAAAAAGCGAAAATTAATTCAGAATCTTGAAATAATTCTAGACTACTCCTTCTGCACGGATATTTTTTCATTTCTACATTTAGACAATTTTTAGAGCACTGATTTAACATTTTTGGAATTACTACTTAGAAAGAGATGACTCATTGTGAAAGTAGTATTAAACTGAGTTGTTGAAGTGATGAGAGAAAATTATTTTTTTTTTGATTTGTTACATTGTTTCTTAATATCAATTCGCTTGTATTTCACATTGAATAAGCATGATGAAAAAACTTTACATTTTAAAATATTTTACACTAGAAGACTACTTGGTGAAAAGCAGTTACGCTGCTTATATATACATATTATCAAAAGTGTAAAATTGGTGTGCGAATTCTAATCAGTTCATTTTATACCACACCCTGTGTAGTATTGGGGGAGTGGTCAACGGACTAGCCTCGTAACTAGATGGTATTGTGTTCGATCACTGACGGATTCATGTATGCGTAGTGATGAATAATGCCAAAACCGGGAAAAGTTAAACTTTAAGCACCAACGACTACCTATCAGCGAATGACTTTCAGCGAACCAGTCATCACATGAAACAGGCATTTTCGGTTATGAAAAACATATATTTATGGGATAAAAAGAGCATAAAAACTGCATAAAACCGTTAAATAGGGTATCTTTCTCTGACTTGTGATAGAAACATCTCTCAGTTTAGCATAGGAGTGTCAAGTGAAAAGTTACACCGCATTCTGTACATATATTCATCCAGATGACTATAAATGAGTAACTTTTTGAGATCCAATTATAGCCCTAATGCTGGCTTTTAATCTTCCCCAAAATCCTTCTATAGAATTGGTGTTTGTCCCTGGAATGGTATCCACAAAATCATTAGAATGGTTCACTCTGTGATGAATATATCCGAGGGATGACAGGGAGTTATAACCTTTCCACTAATCTGTGTGTATTATACATCCCTCTTTCACAAGTTGAGTGATAATAGGTACTAAGGTAGTTGACTTTCTGTCTGCTATTCTCTCAACGAATCTTTTCTGTAGAGAGGTGTCATATAAGTCGATCACCCAAACATTGTTTGCTCGCTCACGAATACACTTGTATTTTTTCTTCAATAGGATAGTTTCTTCCATGTGTACGAAGACACTTTCTCCTTCTGATAACGAAGTAGTTCTCTCCATTTTTCATGATGCGATGTCTCTGCAGTGCTAGTACCACTGAACTATTGATACGAGGTTATTTTCAGTTTCAGCAGCTGCACCTTTCAGAGGCTGTTTTAAAACCCAATAACTATATAAGAAATCTAGATTAAGGACAAATGGGACCTAGCAAAAAATGTTCCCGCGAAATATTAGAATCATCATCTCACCTTCCATGACACTAACTCGTCTCAAACAAATTGCACAGCGATGGACATACCCATCAATAAACCTGCTGAAGCCTTTTATACTCATGATAGCTCTACATGAAAGAATCCTTTCCTCCCTAAGCAACCCCAAATCCAAGCAATAGTGGAAAACCTAATCCTCATCAAACTGCAAGCGTAACTGCATTAAAACAGGCATTTGACTCGATTCAATCGCAACGAAACCTTTAACTCACGTGGATGAAACTCATTGGACCACTCAAGGACATTCGCTGACTGGTGGTTAGTGGTACTTAAAGTTTGACTTGGCCCAGAATCGATCAGAATCGAAATCTAATACCCACTGTTTTTCAGTGGCTCCATAACTTGTGTCAGCATTTCATCTAACATGCAGTACGTCGGTGGTAGAATGATAAATTCCCGACCGATCCACTTCCATACCTCCCCTAGTTTACTAATCAGTAGCAACCCCGGAAAATAGTGAGGGCGTAAAGCAAGCACTCCTATCCTATTTCAAACAAAACGGAATCTACTGAAACTGGAGCTTAATTTTCCTTTCGGAACTCAATCACTTAGAGAAAGAAATTGATACTAGTGAGGTCAACTCAACTTTACTGAGTTTACTTTAACAGAATGATTTGATTGAAGACAAATAACGAGAAAGGTTAAGCGTGAGGAGTAACGAGTCGCCAAAACACCTCTAAGAGTTGTTCAATATTAAATTTCCACACAGTGGAAAAATGCATGATATAACAGTTAAGAGGTGCGTTGTGAATAAATCTGTGTCATTATGTTCGAAATTAGGCAATACATTCGACAGTAACTAGTTGCAAGTTTTGTAGAAAAAAATATTCTGATTTAATAACTGTTACAACTCAACTTTGTACTTATAATTAGTTATCCTACATCTATACGATTAATTCATTTACTCTAAGTGGGCGCAGTCCCATTTAGATATGAATATGAGATTAAAGCCACTGAACTTAGTGATTGACAAGTCAACTGATAAGGAAAATCAATAAATTTCGCATCAGGTCCATGCAACTATTCGTCATTGTCTCTTTTTTATTTATTTATTTTTTTTGATTTTTGTTTCAGGAACAATTAAAATTGACTGGGAAACTGGTACACAACTTTTGAATGGTGTTAACTGGTTAGATAACTGGTTAAGATTACGCAAATTAGATAAGCATAAACGTCCATTGAATATGTTAATGCAAGTTGCAAGTCTGCTAGCTACGCCCAGGCTACAGCTTTTTAAAGTTAGTTTTAATAAAATAATAGATAGATATATATATGCATTATTTCGGATTGTTTTGATTACATTTTTGTCTCTGTTTGTCATTTTTTTCCCCAAAGAATGCGAGCCACATATAAATGTAATAATGGTACTAATTGATTAAAATTTATTAATGCTTTTTGTTTCAACTTGCCAACCAGCATTCCTTTTAAATAAAAAAACGTCAGTAGAACCTTTCTAGGCATAGCTTATTAGCTGTCTACTAGTAAATTGTTGAGAAATTTGGACTTTTCATATATATATATATATATATATATATATATATATATATATATATTCAGAACAAAATATTTAGAGCGAACAATTGTTTTCAATAAATTCTTCTTCAGGCTCTACAATTATAAATCCATTAATGTAAGCATACAATAGCCAATAAAGGCGAATTAGAATCATATCAGAAAGTGTATTGTGGAACAAGTATAAGATGGGATGAAACAATAGTCATATAGTCATATAGTTTTTCAATATGCATGGTCAATAACAACATGGGACAGAATGAGATGAAATAATTTAATGATGTGTGTATATATATAAATATAGTTAGCAGAAAATACAGGTTTCAAGAGTGAGTGTAATTAGGGTGTGTGAGGCAATATGAAAATAAACCAACGAATGGGGCGGTCTAGACTTAAGTTCAAGGTTGAAAATAACAACAATAAGAATGATTGTAAAATCATAACGATGATATGGTGTAAAATTAAAATTAAGTGTACTATTAGTGAATGATTGTCAAATAATAATAATGAATATAATGAAGTGGAATGAACAGGACTTTGTAAATACGATAGCAAGTTAGAAAAGCACTATTTAAACCTAAGGTAATAAAATCATATATATATATATATATATATATATATATATATATATATATTGCAGTTCACTTGACTTGAAGTCTGGTGGTGTTCAAATCGAATGCCTGCTAAAACTCGGCTTCAAAAATTGTCGGTACACCTCAGATAGACATCTTTTCCATCTTCAAGAAACCAGCGTCAACTTCAGAATTTAAACCTAGAGTTATTAATAAAAAAATTGAATTATCTTCATACTTCATCTTCTTCTGTTGGCCTAGATTACTCGTGCAGTTTGTTTACTGAATGGTAGTTGATATAGTCATGTAGTCATGAGTGTTGATGAGTCGAATGTGTACTAACTGTAAAACATGCGTAAACATTGACGAATGAGTAATAAAACCAATTTAAGGGTTAAAAAGAGTCGAAAATCGGTTAAGCAAATAATCTAAACTGTCTATTATCTCATGTGTGAGAAAACAACACAATTTGCAAAGCTTAGTGACTTGCTTGGAAAACTGTTGTTTGTGTGTCATTTCATAAATACAAATAGTTTGACGTCTTTTTGTGTAAAGAAAACGAAAGGTAAACTTTGATAGCAAACATAATTAGTTAAGAGCACATAGGACACGTACAATTTGGATACTATGGAACAGTGTGATTCCATACTACATAAGTTTATTATTTCAGTGTATGTTGAGTCAAATACACGTACCTGATATGAAGTTGATTTTACGGTTTAATAAAATTTTATATAAAACAATACTATTATTCGTTCCTTGGGTTTTGAGTGGATCATAGGACCTCACTGGTATATCCGAATCACACTTGGAATTCTGGCGTCAGTTTAGACGATTTCCTAAGAGTTTCCACTTCCTCTTCATATGATCTTCTCCATATCATTCTCTGACAAACGCACAATCTTCGCTTCCCATTCGGTCTATACCTGAGGCCCAATGTAGCATTTGGTGTCTCCTAATAGTCTCCTTAGCGTATGTTCAAACTGCATCCATTTCCTTCTGTATATTTTAGGATGGTGAGTTCTTGGATGGTTCGCCGCCAAAATTCTTTGTTGGTGGTTCCTTCTGCATGATTATGTGATCTTTAATAATAATCTAGGGAAAGTAGCTGTTAGTTGATGAAAGTTCAAATTAGCTGATTGAGAATGGCTTTGACGTGGCGCATGCAAACTCTCTAAGGCATATAGAAGCACTGATTTGTCATTAGCGTCGAAAAAATGAAGATCTTGTTGGCTTTCATTACGTGTATCGTTTAGCCGTAAATCCACAGGTGGAAATAGAAACAAGGACATCTCTAAATCTGTGACAAATATATGTTCAACTAACGGTAAATCAACTTGAGGTAGATTTAGTCTGACAAACTGACAAACCGCCACTTCAAGTCCTGTGGTGACCAGACTTTAACTCAACTTTCAGTAATTACCCATCACACAAATATTTTCAAATCAGTTTCCTTACGTATACATACAATTAAATTAATGTTCGGTTTTCGCATCTTTATATTTTACTTGCCCTAATTACGTTTTTACCTGTAATCACTATTTTCTTGGCATATTTATATGAAAAATCAAGAATATCAAGACAGATCTCTAAATTACATAAACATTAACCAGAATGAACATTTATTTAATGAAAACCTCCAAAATGAAACCACTGAATAACTTTGTTACAAACTGACATCAAGTGCATCTGTATCCACAGTTACATAACCATCTCACTTTAATTTCAGAATAATCAAAACTACAAACTAAAGCCACCTTGTGCAATCTAACATCTTGAGACGGTTTCAAAAGTGGATATATATATATATATATATATATATACATAAACATATATATGTATTCCATTATCTATCGGCCCCGCCCAGGTCATCAGAAATAAGAGAATAATGAATTATTTATTGAAAATGACGTTTAGTGAGGATGGAAAAAGAATGATAAGTAGAAAATTTATTGATCTTGTTCACATGTATGGAGTGAATTGGACAAACTTTTTGAGAAAACATCTGATTTATCTGTAAAATAAATATTAGATTGAATCTTTAAACACTACTGTTTACTTATATATATATATATATATATATATATATATATATATATATATATTATGCACATCCGATAACAGAATGTACCGGTTGTTGTATAGGGTATTTATTATCAGTAGTCTTTTTCAGTATTCTGCAGTTTATTTTCTGGGGAGAAAGCTCTGAAAATAATAAAACCTGAGTTCATCACATCATTTAGGGTGATTTGTACAAAGCACTTGCAATTTTTAATACGGATACATTTATGCCGTTTCAATTCAAACATATTATTAAACAAGAAATAATATTAGTCAGTAAACAAATGGAATTAAGCACAGTAAACAGATATGTTAGCTCAGGAGCCTAAGGGATGAAATCTTGGTGTTGACCTTGATTTCTAGTTGAAAATACACGCCACGGTACAGGTAGCTCTATTGCACAACTCCAAAACAGAATGAATACTGAGCACTGGCAAATATCAAATAAAAACAACATTTGAAAAGGTAGGCAGTATGCTTAATTTATACACACCGTTGGACATCACAGAAACGCTGAATGAAATAATTCAACTAAATAGACAAATAATTTATACACAAATATTGGATGGAAGGATAAACGAAACTAGGGGTCGCGCTATGTTGTGAATTGGCAGAAGTTAGAATTCATGGGCTGGCCATTGGATTGGGTCCCAGTGGCTTAATGGTCTACGAGCTAGCTCGCCTTGTAACCAGAAGGTCCTGGGTTCGAACCCCGGTGAGTGCGTACTTCTGAGGAGCCTCAAACTAGGACGAAACAGCTGTCCAGTACTCCCAGGTTTTCCAATGGTTCAATGTTCAGTTCTTGATGAAATCCTGTAATTTATTTCTATTCTGTTCCTATGATGCAAACTAAAAATTGAATTTATTAAAGCTGAAAACATTTTGTGGGTACTGAGTGTAATTGAAGTGGTTCAGATTTAAAATGCTAATTCCTAGTGATATTTTGTCTTCATTAATTCCATAACAATCATCTAAAGAATTACATATGAATAATATTTTTCAGGTAAACAGAAGTTAGGATTTGATAGTCAAGTCGACTAAAAGTGCCCGATTGGCTGGTACTGGGGTTAGTTATACTACGGTTATCATAGTGACAAATTCTCTTACTTTAGTCAACATCGATGGGAATTTGAATTCTTAGGGAAGTACAACTTTTACTAGAATTATACACATGAAGTTATTACGTAGCCAAAGTGAAGCACACATCACTGAATAAAAAAATATTAGACAGAACTTGTTTTGTATCTGTCAGTATTGGGTAACAACTATCCAACAGATTTCGGGTCACTAGACCATTGAAACAGAAGTGTGTAACAGTATGTAACAAAACATAGTCCTTATCAGTTAATCACTGTATGGTTATCAAATTGTTCTATCCGATCCCAATTACCGGATCACTTTGATCAGTCAAACTTGTTATATCATCAAAAAGTGAGGCAGCTCATTATGATAGCACTTCTTTGTTAATGCCCTGCGGCCTGAGTGTGATCAACAGTAAACTGTGGATTTCATTCACATACTCTTTTTCACTTGTGTCTATACCATTAACGCTTGGATATATAGTCTAAAGATTTTGATTCTAAAGCAGCCTATGTTTTTCTGACAGAGATTTCTATGCCACAGGTAATTTATGTGTCAATAAAAATGTAGTGCGTATAACTAACGCCCAAAGGTGTTTTGACTACTGGCAGTGTAGATAAAAGGCATCAGATTTCTTGAATAGCAAAGAATTATATTCTTGTGCCTGAATATTAACGCACTTACCTAGTAAGCTAGTGGTTCTAGTGAAGTCATGAATTCTAACCGGTGAGTAGTACCAAATTACATTGAAAGAGCTGTTGAGTACTCTGGATTTTAATGTTTCTTTGAGTAACATCGGTTTGCGATGATATCTAACCTGAAGTCAGTCAATTTTCTACAACTGCAAACTTCAAAATAAATCCATGGAAGCTGAGCCTACTCAACAATTCTTTAACGCTTAACTCTAATTCCTCAATCGTCTTTTTATTATTAAGGTACAAGACAAGGAATTCGTTTCTGAGGGCTTCATTTTGTATTGCTTTTGTTTTTAGCTTTTACTATTTTTCAAATGA